TCTATATAATATATCATATATCACCATATACATAACTCTTTCAGCTGTTCAACTTCCGTGAGGGCACTAGTTATTCGATTCACTCAAGCTAGTTACTCTTTTCTCTGTTTTTTTTTTTTTCTTCGCCTATGACTTTTCACCATTGCACTCCACTGTGAGGGGCAGAGTTGTTGCTGTTATTGTTGGTTGCCTCGATTCCATAAGTGAATGGCGCTAGTTGAGCCCGCCCAGCATCAGCAGTGCCCTTACGGCGCCTCGATTTTCAGCTGCGGGGGAAGGGGCAAGGAGTCAACTGCAGCAAAGAGCGTTGCTGCTATTAGTAGATGTCATATTAGAGCCAGCGAAAAGCAGCAACAGCCATGCAGACTGAGGCAACTTCACTCTCAGGCACGATATTCAATTTTCAGGCACCGCATGGGGGCGGCAGGCAGGCAGGCAGGCAGGCAACAACAACAACAACAACAACTGCAACTGCAACAATTGAGGCAACTTTTGTTGGCATTCGTTTGTCTTCGATTTCGATAACATTTCGACATTTGGGATAGAGTTTTAATTGAATTGCCTGCAATCTGGCGGATGGCAGGTGCAAAGCCCGCAGCTGAAATCGAAAGGCATTTGAGTGGCGTCCACTCAGGTCCAACTTGTATATTAATTAGATCAGAAGCATGTTCGCCAAGGTCGTCTTTCGGCGACAAAATTGCATGCATAACAAATTTGTATGTCGTTGCCTCTGTCACACGCACAGCCACACACACATACATACATACAGAAAGACAGTCAGATCAAAAGGCACTTTGGCAGGCTTTTAGCTCTGCCATAATTCAAGCCGATAAGCGATCTTAACTATCTACACGATCTGGACAGGCAGCCAGACAGTCGGCAGTCGAGAGTCGAGCGTGGAGCGTCGAGCGTCGAGCGTCGCACGCAGAGCTCGCTGCCAAATGCATTTTGACTTCTTTTTCCAGCCAGTTACTCCAACTCCCTGCCATCTCCCTCTCCCTCCCTCTCTCTCTTTCTGTGACAATATTTGCATGGCAAGTTGCCTCGCAGTCGTAGCTGTAGACCGTTATCGGCGTGCGCTATCAGCGCCATCATCTCATCATCAATGTGGCATCATCAACGCGAAATGATCGCAAATTATCTGCCTTAAGAGTCGATTACAGCCTTTGGAGTTCCTTTGGTGCTGCCCGTTAATGGTTTTGTGACATTTTTAAGGTTCGATTTCGAATTTGTAACAAATGTCGGCATAGATTAAACGATGCCCAGACGATAGCATTCGATTTTTAGTGTGGCATCTCCTAATGGAAGTCTTGTTAGCCAAGGCGCAGATGATGAAGAGTA